CCTGGCGCTTCTCGCCCGTTCCCGCTCGGTGCGAGGGAGAAGCGAGGCGCGGGCAGCGGAGGACGCTCCCCTGCCCTTCTTCCCCTTTAAACGTGGGAAACGGGCCGAACCCCCCGAGTTCGTGCTCGCGGGCGGGGCCATTGCAGCCTGGCGCCGCCGTCCTGTTTTCCTTTTCCTGCCCCTTTTTGGGTCACTTTGGGTCAGGGCTGTGAGAGGTGAAGGGCCCCAGTCCCTCAGGCTGGTGTCTGCCCTCAGCCCTGTGCTCTGGAGCCCACCTCGGGGATAGGCCGTCGTGAGGTGTCATCCCCCTGCAAATGAGGTGCCAGCAGTGTCAGAAAGCGAACGTGCGTCGGGAATGTGGAAAATGTTTCATGTCAGCTAGCTTAGGTTTTTATGAGAAGACAGACATTGAATGCTTTTGATGCTAAGGTACGTCTTTAATGATGAAAATATGGGGGGGGGTTGTCTCCAATTTTTCTCTTTAGGCTGTATCTGACTCAGGGAAGGAGAATAATTCTGGCAGAACCACCTTGCTGAAGCAGAGACCGACTGTGCTGCCTGATCTTGATAATGACACGCCGCGGATTATGCTCAAGAGAATCATCCGGACCCGTAAGGTTTTGGGGTTTTTTTGGGTTTTTTTTTCAGAAAAACAGTGGAAGTTTGGTGTTTCGGTGTAGCTGAGGACAGGAGGTGTTCCTTTGTAGCGTGTTCTTACCCCGTTATGTGGAACAGAAATCCAGACCACTGCATGACCAATTTCTGTGAAAGGGGAGGAATCAGTGCAGCAGCAGCTGAACAAGGTCATGCAAATTGGACCAGGTCTTCCCTTGCTGAAAAGATATTCTTGAAAATCCTTGCTCAGGTCTTATCCTGCTGAGCGAGTGAGTAATCTTTGTGCTGCCTTTAGCCGTAGGATCAGGTATAAATTACGGAGGTGTGTGCTGTCCCCGGCTTCAGCTCCTCTCTGCAGTGTGCGTGGAACCCCCCCGCTGCTATTTGTCATTGTAGGTGCCAGCCTTCCTAGGAGTAGAACCCAAATCACTTTTACCAGGTCTTTATTTTAACCTGTTGATAACTGTAACTTATGGAATGTGGTATACGTTTGCCACTCTGCTGTATTTTGGCATTCTTGCTGGATTGAGCTGTGGACAGGAAATGTTTTGGTTTGTTGGCAGAACCGCAAGTTTCGCCTCTAGCACCTCAGGCGTCTGAACATGAAGAAGCACAAGCAGCTCCATCGGAACTCCCGTCTAAGAGGTTTTCCAGCACGTAAGTAATACTGGTGGGTTTTTATGCTGCCAGGTGCAGCAGCAGTTCCTACGATGGGATCAGGGAGTGGGATTGCCTCTGTTTCAATGATCAGATTTGTGTTGTGTCAGGCGGGATTTTCAGAAAAGCTTCTTCAGCATTTAAAAGTCACATGGGAATCACTGGGACTGGGGGACTGAAGAGTAAATACTTCAGGTTTATCCTTAGTCCCCCCTCTTAAATGCAGGCTTTTGATATCTTTTTGCAGTGGAACTGCTGGATGCGGTAAGTCTCCCGGTGGAAGCCTGGGAGCTTTTCTTAGTTGTCTGTGCCAGATGCTAAGGTCGAAGTTCTCAGATCTGTCCGAGGCTACAGGCTGTGTGCTGATGATGCTGATGTGTAATGAGTGACTGCTGTGACTTGTGTTCAGAACTCAGGCTGCTGTGGCTTTTGATGGTGTTACTGCTTCTTGGTTGTCCTTGCTTTGGGCCGCAGGGGGCTACTGCCTTCCTACAAAGTGGTTTGGAGGTGAGGTTTGCCTGCGGCTCAGCTGCTTTTACTCATGTTTAGCTTCCATTAGTATTTTAAGTTAATAGGCCTGACTGAGAGGCTGAAGTGCAGTTTGTTTCCTTCCACTTTGTTATGAAATAAAACCAGTAGTGGTGGTAGGCCTGACTTTGCTTTAGCCAGTTTTGTCACAACACTTAGGTGTGGTTTTGCTTACTGCAAAGTAGGATAGACTGTGCTAAATAACATGATCTCCTCTGATTTGTCTTTATAGCTGAACTTTTTGTGTTGACTAAAAGCAACCTTAAACAGGTTGCTGAAAATATTAGGTAACTTTTGTCTTCCTGTTTTTTAATAGAGGAAGAAAAACCTGAGTTTGTAGTTTGGTGGCTTGTTTTTTTCTTTTTGTTTTAATTTTTGTTCTTAATTAAAAAAGACGAGCAGTATTATTTTAACTCTATTTTGCTCTCTGTAGTTCTTTACTATCTCTGAATGTGCTTCTCATCAGCCTGTCTGTGAATGAAAAGATCAGGTGGTTGGATCTTGGCAGGGTTTTACATTCCAGATGTCAGCTAGTTGTTGCAGTTAAACAGGTACAGACTTAAAAAATACAGACTTTAAAAAATATTTTTAAATTTTTAAAACAACTTAAGTCTTTTTTTTTAAAATTCCCTCATAGCCTGCCTTTAGTTGGCATGAACTTTCTTGAACTTCAGAAGGCACTGCTTTCCCTAGTTGGAATAGCGCCTCCCAGGATGGATGCAAAAAATGAATGATGATCTTTTTTATTTCCCCACTGCTTTACATTTGATCCCCTTTACAAGCCAGGTAATTGTAACGCTTAGGCTTACGTTATGCTTGTAATACTGTAATGAAACTTAGCCACCTTTCTGACTGGTAGGGGATGTATTTTGCAAGGGGAAAAGACCTGTAAACCTGATCACCTTGCCCTTCTCGCTGTGTTGAAGCCACGCTTGTTGTAGCAAAGGACACAGAACGCCCTGTCTGCTGAATGCGGACTCTTGGCTGCGGGGAGGACGCTCTGCTCTGGTTCCGCAGGATGGTGTGGAGTGTGGGGGGACTCTTGGGAGGGATTCCTGTGGGGCGTGGGGATTCTTGGAACTCCTCAGTAAAGGGGAAAAACAACTCAGGAACTTACTTTCTGATCCCGATCCAGTGCCTGACTGGGATATTACACGTCTGTTGTGTACCAGCTTCGTGGTAGCTAATGTTGTTTCATGATGGCTTTTTCATTTATGCTGTAATGACTGTAAACTTAATTTGCACTAATTAATGATTGTAAACCTAATTGCTGTTGTGTGCTGTTAGAAGAGAGCTATGGAGCTTGTTGGAAGTCCAAGCTTTCTCTCCAGTCTGAGCTTTCTCAGCCCTCTTCTTTTGACTATACACTCAAGTTTTGATTCTCTTACTTTGTGAAGTTGACTTTGATTTAGTAGGAGGGAATGATGTGTTCCTGTATTTGCTGAGCTAATCACCGATTAGTTCCTTACTTCTGCTGCAGCAAGGACAAATAATTTGTTTTCGCTGACGTTACAGAGACCTTTTGAAGGTAGCTAAGCTAAAGTCCTTTGTTACAGGCTTGGTTTGTCTTGTAGGGTGGAAATGCAGCTGCCAGACCTGGTTCCTGAGGACACATCTATTGCCACATTCCGTATGACTAAGAAGAGAAAGAAACTCAGCATTTCTGAGTTTGAGAGAGCAGCAGACAAACGACTTCCTCAGAACCAAGGTAAGGCCGCAGCTGAAAATTACCTCATTCAGCACTGCATCTGTGGCCGATTGATTTTTCATCTGCCGCAGTTTAGTTCTTAGTAATTTCTCAGCTGGGCAGTTGCACGTTTGGAAGCCAGACTGCGGTATCATGTGCAAAGGAGATAGCAGAGAAGGTAAAAGCCCCTCCTATCAAATTTAAAATAAGCCTTTGTGAGCCAAATTACAGGCTCTGCCCAGACTGTATATAATTTCTTGACTGTTTTTCCAACTTGGTGCTCTTTGAGTTTTGAAGTGTCTCCAGAGGAAGCAATCCCTGTCTTCCCCCCAATTCCAGAAACCTGAAGATAGAACAAGCTGCGTACTTTTTGTTGCATTTATGTCAAGCAACTTGCAAAGTTCTCGTTTGAGAAAAAAGGGTCTTGTGGTTTTATAAAAGAAATAATGTTTTATATTGGAATAAGTCTTCCCTTTAAACATAAATTTGCAACTTTGGTAAATACAACTTTCATTTTAGCTGCAGTTTAACAGAAGCAGGTGAAACACCCCACCTGGGTTTGCACACCCTATTGGCAGTAGCAACTGGAGTAGGGCTCAGTGGTGGGATTCAGGTCCAAATTACAGACACCTGTACCTCAGCTCCGTGTTACGGGCACGTGTCTGTCTGTATGTGAGGTAATTGAACCCTCCTAAAGTCTGGAGGGCTCACCCTGAAGCAGACACCTACATTTGATTAACTGCATTTGACAATAATGGGAGCATAGACACCTGTGTTTGGATATTTTGATCTGGAGCTGAATCCCACCCTGTAGTCACAAAATTGACTTGTCTGTCTTTAGCCTGATACCTGGTCTGAGCCTGTTCTGATAAGGTGCAGGCAGCTTGGTAAAAGCAGCAGTGCTCTGGTATTTTCCAGTGTGAGCATGATTATGTCACTGCTCTCCAGATCTGTTTTTGGATTTTTAGGACTTTGTGAGTAGAACGGGTTTGAGTTACAGTTTTGCCAACTATCTGCGGTGTAGCTATCTGTACTTTGGAAGCTTCCAGACGCTTTAGTGTTCAGGGGGTAAAGGGTTGTTGAAGGGTGGTTGCGACTGGGGCCCTAGCCCGTCTTACTATTAATGTGGTAAGGTTACCATTACTGAGTGTGAGGGCATGTGCCATTTTTAAATTACCTTTGAAATAACTGGTTTACTACCCTTTCAGAAATTGCTTATTAGAATTCTAACAAGTACTTCTGCAACACAGACAAGAAATTGTAAAGTGAACCCGTCACCTAATTCTGTTCTCACCAAACTGTAACTTTTGAGGATTGTAGCATAACTGGCTCTAGAAAGAGGAAGATCCATTGGGGTGTTCCTGTAGCCTGTTGTGTGCAGCGTAATTTCTCAGCTAGGGTAATTTCTCAACTAATGTGTCACACTTTTTTTTTTCTAGCTCAGTCAACGTTGGACAGCACTGCTTTGGCTCGGTGAGTTTAAACTAAAACGTCTTAACTTCTGGCTGTCCTACCTATAGCTGCCCTGATTCGTAGTGGTGAAGAACGGTATGGATGCCTTGATACCTGGGTTCACGACTGAGACCTGTGTTAGTAATAACACAGTCGTCTCCCACTCTGGTGATGGAATTTGAGGGTGTTACACTGCATACCTTGGATTTTCAGAAACTGTCGCTCTGCACTGTATGCCCAGATTGCTGTAGCTTTTGTGACTGTTGCTCCTCTTTCTACTTACTAGGGTGATTCCTTTTTTCCTTTCATTCTCATGTTTCCAACAACATCAGTACACAATATACTTGCCTGTTAATTGATGAACTTAGAATATTATCTCTTCCTGTTAATTGACTCATCGCATCAGTTGCATCTATGCAGACTTTAGTCCAACTTCCCTGGGCTTCCAAGGCTTTTTAGCAAGTCAAAGAGTTGTATCTCAGTCTTTTCTCATGCTTTGCATGTTGCTATCTTAGCTCCCATCTCAAAAAAGTCAGCGGTGCGTCGGTAGCTCTACTTTGCTATGAATACTGATGTTATAAGTGGCTTCTTAGGCATGTTCTGAAGTCTTCCTACCACCCTGCTGTCATCTAGAGGACACCTTTACTCTCAGATGTCTGTTTTCCCTTTTTTTTCTTTTGTTATTTAAAGTTTTTAATATTCCTGAACCTCTTGTCAGCTATATTGTTGCAGCCCTTTTGAGGTAGGAGGCTGTAAAACAGTCTGTTTCCTGATCTCTGTGATACATATTCTGATGTTAGGTGATACCATGAAATTAAACTATTTGTTTAAAGTAGACTGGCGTGTAATCTTCAAGGGTTTTTTGGGGAAATTCCTCCTAGCTAAGGGATTTGTGAAATGCCTCACTGTTAGTGGCACCATGTCTGTAATCTGAGGGTGAAAGAGGAGCATGTAAAATTGGGAAAATTATTTCTTCCCTCCTCTTTTTACAGATCTCTACGCATGTCTCTTAGTTCCTTGATCCCACCAGACACTGTTGAAAAGAGAGGCTTGCTCCGGAGGCCAAAAAATCGCAAAGCTATTGACATGCAAGCTTTTGAAGGCGGAGTGGAACAGAACATGCTGAAGAGAAAAGGTTTCTTTTGTGCTGTTACTTTTGTTTTGGAAGGGAGGGCCTTATATAAGGTGGCTTTTAGAAGCAGTTACAGAAGCTGAGTGGCTGGGAAGCTGCGAGGCGGAAAAGGACCTGGGGGTGTTGGTCGACAGGCAGCTGAATATGAGCCAGCAGTGTGCCCAGGTGGC